CGCATGCCCTTGGGTAGCTCGAGGCGGTAGTTGCTCGTGCTGACTCTCTCAAGTACCTTGAATGGACCAAGTTTCTTGTAGTCAAGTTTGTCACTGGGTCGTTTAGTTTTGATATTACGACGGAGGAGGTAAACTTTGTCTCCCCTCTTGAAGATCGGGGCCGTCGATCTAGTGCGGTCGTAATATCTGCTCATTCTGTCGCGGACGAATGTGAGTTCGTCGCGCAGGGTCTGGTGCATTTCAATGAGCCTCTCGGCGCGGATGTGTGCCCGGGGCACGAATGATTCTGAGTCCCATCCTCTACGGGAGCTCATTTCATAGCCGAAGTTGGCAAAGAAGGGCGTTACCTTCGTTGTTTCTGTCTTCGAGCTGTTGTAGGACATTTGCGCTGTCGGAAGAAGTTCTGACCAGTTGTCTTGTTCGTAGTTGACGTATGCTCGTAGGTAAGCTTCCAAGACTTGGTTCATTCTTTCCGTCTGACCGTCGGTCCTTGCGTGGTATGCTGTTGACATCTTGTGTTTGACACCTAGTTTGTTCATGAAGGCTTGCCAGAATCGTGACGAGAATAGCTTGTCTCTGTCAGTCACGAGTTCCTTTGGCCAGCCATGGTTGGAAGTGATGTGTCGTATGAAGATGTGGCCAAGTTGTTCTGCGCCGGTATCTTCTCTGAAAGGCAAGAAGTACGCGAACTTGGTGAATCGGTCGAAAACCACTAGAATGCTGTCGTGTTCGATGCCGGTAGCTGGGTCTCGTGATACGGGCAGCTTTGTGATGAAGTCCATGGTGACGCACTGCCAAGGTCCTTCGGATACAGGCAGTGGTTCCAGCAGCCCGTATGGTTTGTGACGATTTGCCTTAGTCTTGTGACAAATTTCGCATTCGTGCAGTACTTCCGTGACAACGTCTTTCATTCCAGCGAATCCGGATGTTTCTTGGACCCTTGCGATTGTGCGTGCGATTCCTGCATGGCCGCCTTCTTCTGGTGACTCGTGAATATCTTTTACGAGTTCTTTCTGCAGTGCTGGCGGGACCCATAACTTTCCTTTGTGTAGCCATGGTTCGATTGTGGACGAAAGATGTGTCCTGATCTCTTCGTCATCTGCGTCGTGTTGAGCGTCTGTGATCTTTTGGATCCAGTCATCGGGTTCCCCTTTGGAGATGTTGTAAATTTTGAGGTCGTCATTAATGTCGTCTAGCTGCACTGGTTGGTGTCGCAGTGATCCATCAGCATTAGATTGGAACAGTGCTGCTGACATCGTGACTTCCTTGTTGTTCTTGAGGTCTTCCCGGCGGCTCAACGCGTCAGCTCTAGCATTCTCGGAGCCTTTGCGATAATAGATGTCGAAGTTGAATTGTGATAGGAATTCTGACCATCGTGTCTGTCGTTGGTTAAGTTCCTTTGTCGAGGTGAAGTACGTCAGATTCTTGTGGTCTGAGTATACTTTGACGGTTTCTCTGGTTCCGCTGAGCCATGGTCTCCATTCCTTGAAGGCCCATATGATGGACATGAGCTCTTTGTCGTGAATCGGGTAATTGAGCTCTGGTCCACGGAATGCCTTTGAGAAAAATGCGATTGGGTGTAGACGGTTCTGGTCGTCTCGTTGACCTAGTTGTCCGCCCATAGCCCAGTCAGAAGCGTCAGTCTCGACTTCAAATTCCTTGTCGGGGTTTGGTAACATGAGAATCGGATCGTCCAATATCATTTGCTTCAGTTTGTTGAAGGCGTCGTCGCATTCCTTGGTCCAGTTGAATCCGACGTCTTTCTTGGTGAGATCGTTCAATGGTTTGGCGATGCCTCCAAATCCTT